TTTTTCTCTCCTTCCTGATCACCCTAGTCTTCTCAAGGGTGTGACCACCCTGCCAAGCCTGGGCAGGTGCAGGGGCTCAGCCTGGCCCCAGCAGCAGTGCATGGGGTGAGCTCAGAGTGAGATGCTCTCCCCCTGAGCCCCAGCAGGCAGGGCAGGAATGAGGCAGGCTGGCATCATACCAGAAAGATGGGGCTGCTCTAGGGCTCTGCTTTGCAGCCCCTAGAGATTTGTAAGCTGCTGGAGGTTTCTGGGCCATCAATTATTTAATTCCCTCCAGTCATGTGGTCTTCATTTGAGTGCACCAGCCCCGGCGTGGGGGCAGCAGGGCTGGGCAGGGGGATGCAGTGCTGGCAGGAGCACACAGGGCTGATGCCATCCAGAGTATGGAGCCGAGGGCTTTTCTTCCAATCTCCCATGGTAACCCTGGGGAAGTTGCATCTCTGCTCCATGCCTCAACTTCCCCATCAGTGAAACGGGTTCAAAGATTTCATGTCCGAACTTTGGGGAAACAGACTGCGTGCTGCCGCAGCTCACAAACACACGTGCTCTGCAGTAAAACGCCAAAACAGGGCCCTGCTACAATGCCACTGGGTGGGTTGCTTGAGGTCCTTTTTCACCCCTCATGGGCCCCCATTTGCTGCCTGCCTTCTCGAGCTCAGCCAGGCGGGCATGGCGCGGTGGGGCGGGCAGGAATGGCAAGCTGCGACAGGCGGGGAGGCTGGAGCTGGGTAGGTGTGTCTCTGTTACCCAATAAATAATACAAGCCCTAAAGCAGCCCATTGTAATTACAGGGGCCCCGCGCGGATTGAAAGCGAAAAGAGGAGAAAAAAGGAAATCGAGGTTCTGCCTTTCCAAGGAAGGGAGCGCTCTGCTGGGAAAGCAATGGAGGGGAGCAGTGATTTATATCTCTCCAGAGGAATTCTTCTTCCCGGGGCCGCCCCGAGCGCCAAACCGCCGCCAGGTTCAGCTGAGTTTCTAATCTGAATATTCATGAGGCAGTAATTAATTCTCAGATAACAATCCAGATTCAGGGTTGGTTTTGCCAGCGTGTGCGTGCGTGCGTGCGTATGCGTGCCTTCTCCCAGGTGTGCAGACGCGGCAAGGAGGGACGAGAGGAGCGCACAGTGGCTGACATGTGGCCGTCCCTACAGGATGATGTCCTCCGGAACCCGGTGGCCTACAGGAAGGGACAAGGAGGACAGCACGCCACGGGGCTGCATGCTGGCTGTGATCCCTGCCCCACTGCACATCCAGCTCCGTGTGAGCGCAGGAAGCGTTCTCCCTCCTGCTAAGCAGATGGCAAAGACCTCGTGTTTGCAAAGCGCTGGGAGAGGCAAAGAGGGAGGGTCTGGCCTCGCCCCCTCCCTCCCGCCTTCCTCTCTTTAAATCTCTAACATGCAGCACTTTAAGCACTGGGGCAGGAGCCCCAAGGAGCGAAACTGCATCTCTGGCCCAAGGCCCAGGCCCTGAATGGGTGTGGGTGTGTGATCTCAGTGCGATGCCCCCAGCTCAATCCATACTGCTGCTCACTCAGGCCTAGAGTCACAGCCGACCTTCAAACAGGGGGAAAAGAAACAGAATATTGATTAAACAATAATGAAAAAGAAAGTAAAACAACTTCTTCCCAGATGCAGCGAGCCTGCATGCACCCTGCTGCATGCGTCTCGTCCCCCTGCCTTCAGAGCAGTCTGCCCCGATGCCCTGCTCACCCTTCTCTGGAGGGAAAGGCAATAATCAGCTTTGCTGCCTCTAAAACCAACTGGGGGCCCGGCATGCAGCCGGGCAGGGAAGGACAGGGCTCTGAGCCCCATCCCCTGGAGCACAGTGCCTTGCCATGACAGCACGATGTCTCTTGTCCCTCCAGGTCATGTCCCTCGACTACCTGAAGGAAAAAGCAAGAGAAGCAGCAGCACCAGCGTGTTTTGCTACCTTGCTGTCAGCACCCATCTAGGGGAGGCAGAAAGCCTCTTGGTCATCCAAGGCCACGGTCTTTTGGCTAACCAAGGTAGTGGCTCCACTGAGAAGTCACTGAGTATCTTGGACATTGTGGGATCATAATGTTATTGCCTGCTGGCTTCAGGGGGCCTGAAGAGGCCAAGCGCGCTTTTCTACATCCTCTGTTTGCAGGGGATAAGCCTCCCTGCAAGCTGTTCTGTCACAGGGCTCCTCTTGGAGGTGGACGTCGATGAGATGGTGCCATGTCCCATAGAGCAGCCAAATGTCCTCCTGCCAAGAGAGCCCTGCAAACTCTCCTGGCTCTGTTAGCATGGAGTTGGGAGACAGCAGTGAGTCAGAGCCCGGTGTTGTAATGCGTATAAGAGCAGGGACGGTCATAAGCTAGAGCGCAGGGCCCGCCTGGGCCTTTTGCAATCCCCTGGGGAAAGGCGAAAGCCATGTTTCCATCCTTTAATTAAAGGCAGTGCAGAGACCTGGGATCTCTACGGGCACACAGAGGTTGGCCCCGTCTGGGCTGGAGTGTCCCCACTGTCTCTCAGAGATGCTTTTTGTACCCGTGGGACACGGTGCCACGGGCATCAGAGACAGAAGATGAAACAGCCAGGATGTCATCTCTGTCGGCCTCGTGTCCTGCATCCACAGCCTGACCTAGAAACACGTCTCGTGCCGGAGCGCAGCGATGCTGCAGGCTCATCCCTCTGTTTTTCCAGCGCAGCTGAGTGACAGTCGCCCCTCCCCTGCCTCTCCAATGAGCATAATGAGAATTTCCTCCGAGGAGCAGCTTGCTGCGATGAAATAATCGCCTGAGCAGCAGGATCTTCGGCAGGGATTAAGCAGAACAGCTACTTGCTGAGCTGGGGAAACGGCCGGCGAGGGGGGAAAACTCCACTCTCGCCATCCACCAGAGCCACAGCCATGAGGTGCGGGCACAGCCTGGAAACTTCCGTCCCACTGCCGGGGGCACGGCTCTACAGTCCCTCCAACTCCTCCTCCTCCCGCTGAGCCGTTCCCCAGCCCGGCGGGCGGGAGGGGTGGAGGAGAGGTGAAGCAGCAGCTGCCTTTTACAGGCAACAGTTTTTTTTTGTGGCGGTGGTGTTTCCTTTTGGACCGCTGAGGCAGAAAATGCCGAGCGGCGGCAGCCTCCCAGCGCCTCACACGCACGGGCGGGCACCCGGCGGGGTGGAAGGCTCCGTGTGGGTTTCCTAGGGATTTAATCGTTTTGTTTTGTTTTCCTTCCCCTCTCTGCTTTCTGTGGGATCTCGGCACGACCCTCCCCTGAGGATTCCTCCTTTTCTGCCTCAAATCTCCCACATCCCATTTTTAAACCGTTCCTCTCTCTCCAAGTATTCTTGAAACGTGGGAACCGAGCCCGAAGGAACATCCCTTTTTTGAGGAGAGCACATGCGTTAAAGCCAAGTTATGCTTTATTTTAGGGGCTGTGCTTAGTGCTTTTTTTTTTTTTTTTTTTTTTTTTTTTTTCTCCTTTCCTCTTTGGGATGACCCAGCGGCCACCAGGCCCAGCCTGGCTGTGGTACAGGGAGAGGGCAGAGGGCTGCAATCCCACTCAGCCACGCCACAAGCACGAGGGAAATGCTGTCCTCATGGCTCTTCCCCGAACCCCACTATGTCCACCCCACTGAGATGAAGGACGCCGAATCAGAGGAGAAAAGTCCTCCGCCACTGCATTGCAGATGGGGACAATTTCGGGGCAGAACACGGCACCCCGTGTCCTTAGGGCCCCTCAGGACCCCTCAGCCAGCTGCCCCCCGTTCCGCTCCACAAATCCGTGAAGAGCGCGCTCCGGGCTTTCAAACTCACTCTGTTTTAGACAGGCAAACGCTTCAGCCAATAAGAGGCCGCAAAGCGTCAACATTGCGTTCGCTCTACTTCATCAGCCAATCCACGTCGCGCAAACGCTATATCCCGCCCTCCGAGGACAGAGCTCCGCCGTCTGTTGGCGGCCATCTTGAGTGTGGCAGAGTTGCTGCTCCGTCCCAGGGGGCTTTTTTTCATTTCTTCATCCTTTTTTTCGTGCCGTCCGTACCGGGGAGCGTTGAGTCGCGTCACCGGCGTACCCGAGGGGCTTTTGTTGGCAGCGGAGCGGCTCCCGAGGAGCGGTGGAGCCGTGTAATAACTCCACGAAGGGCTCCCGGCGCCATCTTGAGTGTGGCAAAACTCCCTCACTCGGTGCGCCGGTGCACCCCGTTATCCCGAGCGGGACGCCTGAGTGGGGCGGAGGGGGGGGGTAACCGCGGGGCCATGGTACTCGCAGCCCCGTGTAACGGCGGGGAGAATGCGGGAAAGCCCCCAGCGCGAGCCAAGCCTCGGGCCCGCCGAAGACGCGCGAACGCGTGAGGGGAGAGCGAGGGTGAGGCGGTGTTTCGTTGTTTGGTACAAAAATCAGCGAATCGCCGGGAATCCCAAATTTCTGCGTCATCCCGGGGGGCAGCTCTGCCCCCACCCCGCCGGCGGTTGTTGTGGCCGAGGTGGCGGCGGCAGAGCCGCGCGGTGATACCGCGGGCTGAAAGAGTCCCGCAGAGCCGTGCGAGGGCGGCGTGTGTCCGGGGGGCCGCGCCGCTTCACCCGCAATACGGCTCTTATTATTATTTTTAACTCCTATTATTTTTTTCCGCCATGCGGGCGGCGCTGCGGCGGGAGATGGAAGCTAAGAGCCGAGGGGGGAGAAGAGAGGGGGGGGGGGGGGCCCCCCCCCCCCTCCCCCCCCCCCCCCGCGGGGGGGGGGGGGGAGAGGAGGGGGCGGGGGCGGAGGCAGCGCGGAGGGGAGGGGAAGGGGCGGAGCGTGGCCGCACTCCGCGCCTCGCCCACGCTGAGGCCGGGCGCGAACTCATCACCGCAGTGGCGGTGGGCGCCTGCCGCTTTAAGCGGCCGTGCCCATTGTTTGAGCCGCGGCCAATGGGAGCGGGCGGCCGCGGCGCGCGCGGCCAATGGGAGCGGCGCGGGGCAGCGCGCGCGCCGCCCCCGGCTCTATAAGAGGGGCCGTGGCGCCGCGTGAGTCCCCACTGGCTCGCGCAAAGCCATCTTGGCATTGTTCTGCCCGCGCCGCCGCCCGCGCCGCCACAGCCCCGCGCCCCGCACGCCCCCGCCATGTCCGACACGGCCGTGGACACCAGCGCCGAGATCTGCGCCAAGGTGAGCCCCGCTGCGCGCCTCGCCTTGCGCTGCTCTTCTCCGCTTTGCTTTTATTTTTCCCTTTTTTTCTTTTTTATTTTTTTTCTCCCCCCCGCGCAAACGTGCCGTTCTCATTTATGCGTTTTTAATTTTTTTTTAATTTTAGCTTTTTTTTTTTTTTTTTTTTTTTTTTTTTTTTTTTTAAATTATTTTCCCTCCGCCCCCGCTCTTTGCGCTCCGCGATTCGGCGCGGATCTTCCGTCGCCGCCGCCGCTGTGCGCTGCCGCGCGGAGCTGCCCGCGCCGCGTTCCTTTGTCTCCCGCGTGCGGGAAACGTGCTCGGGCCCCGCGCCGCGTTGCTCCGCGCCGGGGCCGTCCCGCGCCGGGGGGTCGGGAAGGGGGGCGGGGGGGCGAGTAGCGCTCGATTCGTTCTGTTGGCAGCGGGGACTGACAGCGCCGGCAAACTTGAGGATGTTCGTCGGGAGATTTGGGCTTTTTTTTTTTTTTTTTTTTTTTTTGTTTTTGTTTGGGTGGGGGGATGATAGACTGAGTGGCGTGGATCTCTCTAGGATGGGGAGAAGGGGTGGACGCTGCTTGTGGAGTTGGTCCGAAAAAACGAGCCGGGCGGGCGGGGTGTTCCGCCAGCGGTGCGTGTGGATGGGGACACCCGGGGCTGCGGGGAGCGCTTGGGAGTACGGAGGTGTTCTTAGCTCGGGGCCTGGGGGAGCCCCGGGGTTGCGGAGAGGCGCTCCCGCGGGGCCCCGCCACAATCCCGGCGCCCGCCTTTGTCTGCGGGCGTCCCCGGGGGCACGGCGGACCCGGGCTGTGGTTCCCACTGGGCAGCGTGCCGCGGTCCGCGCCGCCGTTGTGCCGAGGGGAAGTTGCGGGGGGATCCGGGTGCGTGCGTGGGAAGGCAGAGGGGGATGGTTTGGCCGTTCCCCGGCCGGTACCGGTCACCGGGTCGTGGCCGCTCCCGGGGGAGAGTGGGGCTGGAAGCGAGGAAGGGGGAAAAACATCTCAAAGGGAGTTGTGTTTTTTTTTTTTTTTTTTTTTTTTTTGTTGTTGTTGTTAAAGCCCCGCGTTGGACGGATTTCGATTTCACTTCTGTTTCCCGCTCGTAGCCGCACGCCGCCCCCGCTCTGCCCCCGCCGCTGCTCGTTACACCGGGCCGAGGCGGGTCGGGAACCCCTACCTACTGTGGGGCCGAGTTCGCCGTTAACCTTCCCCTGCCCTTTACCGGCGCGGGGGCTGCGTCCGCTCCGGCGCGTTCTCCAGGGGCGCAGCGACAAGGTGACCCCCCCCTCCTTCCGCTGCCGGCCCGTAGATACTCGGCGTCCGGCGGCTGCTCTCTCCAGGAGGGCGGGCAGGGGGGTCCCGCCCTGCCCGGGCGGCGGCTCCGCGCCGAGCGCCGCCCCCGGCCGCCGCCGTGCCGCGGGGCGCCCACCACGTGCGGCCCTGCCCGCGCTGCCCGCTGGGAGCTGAAGTCCGCCCGGGACTACATTTCCCAGAGTGCTTTGGGGCGCCGAGCCGGCGCGTTGGCGGGCGGCCAATGAGAGGACGCGGAGAGTGGCGCGCGGTTTGAAAGGCGGCAGGGCGCGTGGCGGGAACGGCGCCCCCTGCCGGCGGGAGGCGGAGGCCTCTGAGTTCCCGCGGGCTGTGAACCGCGGTCCACAGGGCCGGAGGTAATGCTCAGCGAGCAGCCGGTGTATGACTACACGGCATCGCTATTCTCTGGACAAACAGCTCTGCCACACCTATAATTAGAGGCTCTGTTACGGCTGGAGCAGGGCCGGTGTGCTGGGCTCTGTGTGCACTGTGCTGTTTGTGTTGGACTGGGCCCGGGGAATGGGAAAAGCCACGGCGTGTTATGCAGCCATTCTGCCAGCATGGGCATCCTGGCCTGGCACCCTGTGGGCATGCAGCTGGGAAGGGGCAGGGCTGCAGGACCAAAGAGGAATCAGTCCCCTGCAGAGGTGTTTATCCCATAGTGAGGTGTGGTCACTGCTCTGTGCCATGTCTGGCTCTAGAAGTGTTGTGTCACTCTTGTGTTGGAGTACCTGATAGGTATTGATGACTATAGGATGAGGTCAGCTGGCTGTGATCAACCTCCAGGAGCAGGAGAATGGAGGTTGAAGGCCCACGGTGGGGCTGGGCTGCGCAGAGGAGGCAGCTTGGGCTTTGCATTGTGATCAGAGGCAGCAGAAGGCTGTTCCTTGGTGATTCCAGCTGTTGGGCTGCTGACGCTGGGTGAGGTTCTGTCCACAGCTCTGGTTAAGTGCAGGGCTGGCTTCAGAAGCACCAAGTCTGGTGGGTGAGGGGTGCCCCTACCTGCAGTGTCCCCTCTATTCTATCCTCACGCTCTGGTAAACAGCTCACTGGGCTACAACTCCAGGTGGTGTGTGCCCCTCCAGAGTGTTCACAGCTGGCAGCGTTCCCACAGGGAAGTGACAGCAGTTGGTGAAAGTGCCCGTGGCTCTGGGGAGGCTGCAGGGCGACCTCATCCCTCCCACTGCCCTGTGCAGCGAGCAGGAGGCTGCAGGCACCTTCAGCTCCTGGGGAAGGGCCTCTCTGCTTCCCTTGGCTGGGTAGTGCCTGTGCTGAAGGATCTCGCTTTGGCTGATGGAGGAACAGAAGGGGAGGAGGATGTGCTCAGAGGATGCCAGTGTTAAATCCAAGTGTTCTTTATGCGGGAACATAAAGTTGGATCCTCGCAGCCTGTTTGCCAAGCAACTTGGCATGACGTTTGACAGTGATCAATAGCAAAAGCACACCAGCTCTTGCTCTGCTCGTGGTGGAGGCTTGAACCAAAGTCACCAGGGATGGCTCTGGAGTGATACAAAAATAGGCTTGCTTCCCCCGCCCCATCCTGTTACACTGAGTGCTGTGAGATGGATCCTGGAGCCCTCCTCTCCGACAAAGCCCAGGCACATAATGTGTGCTGAGCGATGTTCCCCAGGCAGGGCAGAGAGCACAGCCTCTGCTAATGAGTCTCTGGGATTTGTTCCTGCTGTGAAAGCACTGAGCAGCCGCGGAGGCTTGCAGCCCTGGGGCGCTGGAGCTTGCATTCAGTGGGGTTGCTGGCTTTTTGTGGCATGGCAGAAGCTTGCATGGACTTTGCTGGGATGGGGAATCTGCCAGCACTGCTGTTGTTGAGTGCATGCAGGCAACCAGCCCGCGTGTTTGGGAGCTTGGAGGTGAAATGCAGCGGTCTCTTCTTAGACGGGTGTGCTCTGGGGAGCTGAGCTTGGATTGAAATTCATCCCCTTCTCTCACGGCATTGCCAAGGAGGAGCCAGAATGTGGCAACCGAATCACAGGGCAAATGGGTGTGAAGACAATCAAGTTTCCTGGGTGCTCTTGGACTGCATCTTTCACACCTGATCTGCAGCTTTTCTGGCCCAGCATCTGGATTTGGGATGACTCTGCTTTTCTGCTCCTTCCAGGATCTAAAAGAGAAGAAGGAAGTTGTTGAAGAAACAGAAAATGGCAGAGATGCGCCAGCCAACGGCAATGCTGTGAGTATGGCTGGATCTGCAGGGGGTGGCAGCCCTCGCTTCAGTAACTTTTTGTTTTCCTTCCCCTTCTTGCTTTTGCTACAAGCTTGTCCTAGTCTGAGAGGGGTTCAATCCTCCGAAGGCTGCCCCTGTGCTGTGCAGAGCCTTTGGAACTTGAGTTGAACAGAGTCTTAGTCTGCAGCAGTTGCTCTGTGTGCAGAAAGGAAGGTTGGGGCTTGGATGTCTTGATCCTTATCCCAAAAGCCATGTTGGATTGTATCCATTGCTTCCTCCTTTCTAGGCACTAGAGAAGGAGGGGAAAAACGATTCTGGTATTTACACTGTAACAATCAGTTGAATGGGGCAACACGTTGCATACAAGTAAACAGATTGGTTTCCTATTTGTAATGTGCTGTGGGAAACTCACTCTGCTCATTTCAATGTGTCCCGAGAGCCTCTGCAGACTTTGTCTTGGCCTCAAAGCTGCAGCCTCGAGTTACTACAGACCTGATCCTTCATGCCCGGGCTGCCTGCATCGTGTGGGGGCAGGCAGGAAGCGAGGCGCGTGCCTGGGGCTCCTGTGGGCTGGTGCTGTGCTTTAGGAAGGAAAGGTGGGGATGCGTGCTTCTGCTGAACATCTCTTCCCCCTTCTCCCTTTCCCAGTGCGTTTTCTAAGTGATGTTTTGTCTTGCCAAGGAGAACGAGGAAAATGGAGAGCAAGAGGCTGATAACGAAGTAGATGAAGAGGAAGAGGAAGGTGGTGAGGAAGAAGACGAGGAGGAAGAGGGTGATGGTAACTTTCCTTGTTCCTCCTGCCCCAGCCCTTCAGCCAGACCCCGGGGAGCCGCAGGAGCTGAGAGCAGCATCTCCTCCTTGTGGCAGCAGTGGGGCGGCTCTTGTTAGCTGAAGGCTGCCAGCTCCAGGGAGTGAAGTCAGCCTTGAATCCCTTCCAGCAGGTTGAGGGCAGATTCCTTCCTCCCTATTCCAGCCAGACAGCACCGTGCCACTCCATAAGCGCATTACTCCTTCTGTGTGAGGAGTAAAACCTGCCCTTGACTCTTGTGATCACAGCGGCTGTCACAAACGTGAGTGGGACAGGAGGCAGGCAGCCGGGCAGGCGTTGCCTTGCAGCACACAGCACAGCCCACCACCCTCACTGAGCACCGTGCGTGGGGACCCACGCAGTGCCCTCACCCAGCTGAGTGCTGTGGAAGCAGCAGAGGAACCTGTGGCTCTCTTCATTCCTCCCGCAGTGGCGGCAGGCTCTGATCTGACCCTTCCTGGTCCCCTGTCCTGGGTTTTCCTGCCCTCTCCTTTTCCTGACTTGACCCTTCCTGGAAGTGGGTTTTGGCAGCAGTGACCAGGAATCCAGCAGTGATTTGCCCACTCACATCTCACTCTCCCTGCTTAGTATTTTTTTTTTTTTTTCCCCCAAGATCTGCTTGGATGAATAACATTGTTTATTTTTATCACCCATTAAGGCTGGGAGGAAACCATTCTTGTTACGCTGGAATGAGCTTGAGGCCCTTGATGAGTTGTTACTGAGTTAATCCCCTGTGAATTTTTGGTTAAGTGCTGACCTACTAACCTGTTAGTTTGGGGAGAGAGAACTGGGGCAAATGGGGCTGGAAATGTAATAAATGCTATGCCAGCATCTCTTTGGGCAGAACATAAATGGGAAGCCTCTGTCAGAGTAGCGCTCTGTGCTCAGCTTCTTGCTGTCCCCTGTGCCCACAGGGAGCTGGCTTACTAGAGAAACGGAAAGGTGGCACTACTCACACCCAAAATCTTTATCCTTGAGGACAGATCAGTGTGATCCTGACCCATCTACATCCAGCCCCACTGTTCTGTGGGAAAGTCTTTTATCTTTTCTGTGTTCCCTGGGGCCAGGAGAGGGATGTGTGTGCAGCACACATGTGGGGTGGAAGTGTTGCTTGGATACTGCTGTGATGAGCCTGGGGAGCTGCAGTCCCACAGTGCTCTCCCACACCACAGAGACTTGGTGTGCTCCTGTTGTGCCAGTGCCTTGCCAGGATCCCATGCATGCTCTGTCCTTCCCATCCCACTGCCCTTGGGTGATCCCTGTCCGAAGCTGCACCTGAGCAGCTGAAAGCTGTGGGAGGCAGATGTAATGGCAGTGAGCACAGCTTGTATCAGCATTTTTCCGCCACTTGTGGGCAAACTGCAGCCCAGATTTTTGACAGCAGAGGGGAGCTTGAGGGTATATATATATATTTTTTTTTCTCACCCTTCTCGTCCCATCTCATTATTTGCTTTGCTTAAAGCTGCTCAAAGAACTAAAAATGCTCCCAATCAGCTTGGTGCTGTCACCTGACCCGCTGCGGGTGCTGGCTGCAGGGTGCTGATCCATCACTGGGAGCTAATCTGGGCCCTTCCCACAGCATGGGCCGTGCGGTGGCTGAGCATATGCTGAGCAGAGGAGAGGGGAAAGGAGGATGGGCTGACCTTAATCCCCCCCAGCTGCCTGTACGTGTGGCTCGTGCGGTGGTTTAAAGCCAGCTTACTGGCCTTAACGCTGAAAGTTTTAGTAGGGTCTCACATTATGCAAGAGACTTGAAGGCAGCCGAGTGGTGGCTCTTCTTCTAGGGCCTCTGGTCTCACCTCTGATGCCCCAAAGCCACCAAACATGATGGCTGTTGCTCTGATCCACTGGCCTACTTGAGCTCAAAGTGGGTCAAAGCCCAGAGCTCTACTCATCCTCTCCCGAGCTGCAGATAAGGTGGTAGCATTTGTTTGCCGTTCTGATAATTAGAAAGTGTTCTGACTCAGAACTAATACGTTCTGGCTCTCTTAACTCATTAAAGATGGACTAATAGCTGCAAAGGGAAGCAGAAGTAATGTGGAACACTTCAGCGGAGCAGCCACTAGAAAGAGTTTCCTTTTTCTGGATTTTTTTTTTTCCTTGCTCTGTGCTGTTGGTGCTCGAGCACGGTGTGGATTTTGTGCTCCTGCTGTCTGAGGTATCACAGCATGAGCCAGGCTGGGTGCTTCGAGTGCCCTTTCCCTTCTGCCTGTGGGTCAGGCTGGCTGGGAGCTGCCCCAAAACTCCCGTTTCCCTGGGTGCCAACTGAGGAGAAGCGATGTCAGGTGTTGAGAGGAGCTCACCTTCCTCTTCTCTTGCGTAGGGGAGGAAGAGGACGGTGATGAAGACGACGAAGCTGAGGGAGCCACAGGGAAACGGGCAGCTGAGGATGACGAGGTATGTGCACAGCTCGGCCCCCAAGGGCTTCCTGTGTCCGAGGGCTTGGGGGCAGCGGGGCACATGGGGCTGGGCTCTGGGACCCCAGTCCTGCCCATACACTTCCATCGTCTCAGAGCAGCGTCCCTGTGGGATGTGGCCCAGTTCCATTTACTCACTGCCCTGGTTGGTTAGCAGGGTGTCTGCACCTGCTGTGCTCATCCCAGGCTGGGGTCCTGGTGCTGGGATGAGTCAGGGGTGCTCCTGTCTCTGAGCAGGGAGCTAGAGGCTTTGGGAAATGTCCACCTTGTTCCCTTATCCCTGCAGGAGCAGAGGGACTTGAAGCCTACATCTGCCCACCGCGCTGCTGTCCCCTTTCCCTAACATTTTACTTTCCCTTTAGGACGACGACGTCGATCCCAAGAAGCAGAAAACCGATGAAGACGACTAGGCAGCAAATTATAATTATTTTTTTTTAAATAAGGAGGAAAAACAAAACCAACAAAAAAGGCCAGCGCGTCCTCTTCACCCCTGGGACCCCCCCTTCCCTTTCTCCCGTCGCAGCCCTCCCCACACACAGCCCTTCCTCCCCCCTCGCCGTGGTCATCCTCACCAAGTAGAGTGAACCCCATCCCGGCCCCCCGGCGCGGCGCTGCCACTCAATGAGCATAGAAACGATTCGCCCGATCGCGGGGAGAAAAACCCCCCTTCCCACAGACCCCATTTTTTCCCCCCCTCCCCGAGCACCAAAACTTCAAGGCCCTGCTTTCTTTCTTAAAAGTACTTTAAAGGAGAATTTGTTTGTATTTTTTATTTACATTTTATATTTTTGTACATATTGTTAGGAGGTCCGCCATTTTTAAGTGATCTCGGATTGACCAAAAGGGGGGCTTTGAAGTGTATATCTCTTGTTACCTATCTCTGACTTTACTTGTGGTGTGACCAGGCCCAAACCATTATCTCAAAGGAGAATAAAAGAAAAAAAAAAACTTGTAAAAAAAAAAAAAAAA